CTTCTTGCATTTGTTAGGCTCAAAAGTTTACACAAATGGCTATTAACCCTAACAGAGTATATCAAAATAATTATATCACCCTTGACCGTTACAAAAGCAAATTCTTAACGCGTAATATATATGAATAAATAAATAAAAATATATATCTATATATTTAATAAGAAAAAGATTCATGCACATTGTATAAATTCAACGCGGTGAAGCCCTTTTCCGTTTGCATTTAGCCATAGCCTCCCAGAGGCAGTCGGTATGAGAGTAAAACATTTAAGAGTAATATTTTAAACACGTCCCCCAGTGAACCGTTTTCAACTTCAATGTGTCGCAAAGCCACAAATGTAGAATGCCACACATGCATCGAAAAGTAGTGAGATTGAATAAATTCGTTAAATTTGAAAATGAGTTTTTCCAGAATATAAAAATCTGCATATTATTGTAAAAAAAACTTAAATCAAAAGTAAAAAATAAATCGTTTTTAATTTTTTAAAAATATACAGCCTTCAGTAATATAAATAAATATAAAAATATATATATATATTTATATATCTATATATATTTATATATTTATATATATATTATAATTGAAATAATACAAAAGAGACGTTTTGATTAAAAATCGCATATTCCAAAAATAATGAGTAGGGGAACAAAATAAAATTAGAATAAATTACTTATTAGTTCCTGTTCTGGTTCTATCTGTTAGTAGATATATAAGCAGTTGGAATGTAATTCCAACTTTAAGACTGACCTCTAGAACACGCCCTCCTTGGTCAACCTGGCGATTACAATGAATCATAGACAGTAATACCAAACCCAAAGACGATAGCAAACACACCAATGAACATAATTATGTAGGTAGAGTAGTAGTTGAATCTTCCCTCCCGCTCCACAGAGAAACCTCCAGAGTACATGTAGAATAACGCGGGGAAGATAAACCCCAGAAAGCCGCCTGTCACAGACCCAGCGAAACCAAATACGGTGTTGATTTTAGGAATGAATAAGCCGCAAAGGAGTGTCACAAAAGATAATATTAGAACCACAATTACGTGCCATAAGTAGGGGATGTTGTCAACGTACGTGGTGTCCTCTTCCGTATTAATGGGGGAAATCTCACCTGTGGGAATGTGTTTGTTTTCCTCATCCTGTGTATGGTGTGCTGTTGAATTCTTAAGGGCCGCAGTTTGGCTATGCTCCGGTGGCACAGAAGCTTTATTGGCGAATCGCTTCTGCCATCCAATGAGGTAGTAAATGGAATTACGCGCTGTTGTGCCAAGAATTGCATACGACACACACAGCTTGACCAATATGCCAATATACGCAATCATTACTTGGGGTTCATTGATAGGGTTGTACATCAATAGGATAGAATTCGAGCCGATGGTGCTGCCGAAGTCAACGTACCCGAAAAAGGCAGTAATAATATAAATAATAGCAGAAATAGCCAAACCTAAGCTTAGAAGCAACACAAAATTACGTGGCGTACGTACTTCAGGACGCATATCCCACCAAATTTCGTACACAGCAACATGGCATAGGTACGAGAAGATGAACACACCGATGCTGCTGAGTAAAGTATTTCCAGTTCGGAAAAGGTAAATGATTCTTTCGTCACTGTTTGCATCCTCATTTCGGTCAGTTGTTTTCACATAATTTTGGAAATCCTTTAGTCCGTGCGTACAGCTGTGAGCAAATACAACGAGGGCAAAGTATACTAAAAAACTGACTGCGAAGGTTGAAGCGTAGCGTAAGGAATCAATGTGCTTCGGAATCATTAATGGTAACATACCGCAAAGCCATACAAGGATCGTAAGTATGCGATTGCCACCGGCCTTGTTGAAGAAGCCGATGCCAACACTGTCAGGATTGCGCCTATGCGCCTCTTTAAAGATCGGACTAATAATGTTTCCCACAGAAATCACGTACGCTATGCACGCTGATAATCCGAAAAACAAACGAACAAAGGCTGCCCAGTAGGAAAAGGCGTAATGGCCTTTAGGGAAAAGCCAACGCGCCATGCCCTCAAAGGATCGAATGTTCGTTTTTTCTGCCGCAAGAACCATAATGTACATTGAAAATATCGACAGAAAGGTGATGAGGACGAGAGAGGTGATGGTGGTCACAAGGCCAGCGTTGTTCGTGGC